AAAAAAAAAAAAAAAAAATGTATCGCAGTGCCACCAGTAAGCAGCAACTCGTGTGTACTTAACGAGGAAAAAAAAGAAAAATGGACGCATGTTAGGCCCCTGCACCCGTAGAGACAGACTACCCACTGCACCTACATCCCCGTGCAGGTGGCACTTGTGCATATTACCTTCAGGGAGATCCTCCAATTTCTGACAATTCCGCTCTTCATTTATATTACGTGGGAGTGGAAACAAAGTTGCATACTTGGGTAAAAATGTTTTAAGAAATGGGGGGAATGATCACTTCACACACACTCTAGGGGTTCACGTAAACTCGTCCTCCTTGGTGCCTTCTAAATGGCTTTTCCTTCTCAAGGGCGGGAATTAAAAGGGGGAACAAAAAGGGTATTCCCTTACGAGGGGGGAATGCGAAAGGGTGAGGGGAAAAAAAAAAAAAAAAAAAAAAGAAATCCATTCAAATGAGATCAAATGAGAACAATTGAAATAAATTCAAATTAAAATACAAACAGATCGTAAAAAAAAAAAAAATAGGAGAACAAATGACCCGAGCACACCCAAGGGGATCCCGCCAAGGGGAATGCTGCCAAACAAGTATGCACTGTGTAAAGGCATTTTTAATCTGCGAACGGGGCTCACAACATGTACGTACTGCTCTGTGTCCCCGGCAAGTCACCTATTTTGGCTTTAGCTAGCCGCGCTTTGTCACACAATTTGAGTCACATGAGCAGTGCTGCGGTGATTAAAAAAAATGGGGAAGAGGTGATCACGCGGGGGGGCACACCGCCGCACACTGGCATCTTCGTAAAATATAAAAGGGAACCTTTTACCATCTCCCACTGTGGAAAGGAAGCGAAGGGAGCGAACGGGGGGGGGGGGTGACAATGAGGACGTTTTGCGTGGTGTAATTTGTTTTTTTTTTTTTTGCCCCTTTCTCTGATGAGGTGAAAATTTATGTCTACGTCGGGCTCCCCTTTTGTGTTGCATGGTTATGCTGGGGGGTAATTGCCGTCACTGTCTCAGATGTGCGAACGGAGCACAGGATCTCTGCGCGCTCCCTTCTTTTTGCGAAGAGTTAATCTGCCCATTTTGCCAACCTTACACCCATCCTCCTTTTTGACGAATAACCTTCCACAAAAATAGCCGCTGCTAATATAGCTCCACGTAAAAAAAAAAAAAAACAGCCAAGTGGCAATTCAAAAAAAAAAAAAAAAGATAAAACATCTTAGTAATGTAACAGTTTATATAATAGCTTAGTAGTTTACCAGCTGAACAAGAGCCATGTAGCCGGGGGGTGCTCAGTAGGCGCGCATACGCATGCACATGCATAAAAGGGGGGGCAAGAGAGAGAGAGATGCAGAAGTAGAAGTACCGGTATGATACTTGGAGGTGTAAAAGTACCCACTTGGGAAATCATGTCACATGTACGCTCGCTTTGCACTGCTGCGTTGGGGGAAATGGGCCAGCCTTTTTATATATGGAGAAGTATACACACAGGACCACAAAAATGGGTATAAAAAGGAAAAAAAAATAAAGTGAACCTGTGTTCATATTAACAGTGTGTATTTTTACAAAAATGGGAGGCGCGCGCTGTCCCCAGGGGTTAGACCGACGGTGATGGTATAACAACCGTTTTTACTTTATTTTATTTTATTTTTTTTGCCCATGTGCATAGTTGGCTGGGGAGACGGTCAGGACTCCTCGCGCACCTCGTTGAAGTAAGGGTGTTCCATGGCTTCCTTCGGAGTAATCCTCTTGGCATGGTCATAAATAAGCATCTTGTCAATGAGGTCAATGACTTCATCCTTGGCGATGTCCATGTTGGACTGAGTAAGGAAGTGGGACCATGGTTTCCTTTCATATTCCCCAAGTATATTTAAATAATGTGGCTTCAATTTAATATTATATTTTTTTAAGTAAGCATGAAGATCATCAGTGCCTAACACTTTAGCAATTTTTACAAGCTGATCGTAATTATCATGGCCACAAAAAAAAGGTTCCTTTTTAAATATCATGCCAGCCAACATACATCCTAAACTCCAAATGTCTAATGAGTAGTCGTAGAGTTGCAAGTCGATAAGAAGTTCAGGTCCTTTGTAATATCGGCTAGCTACTCTGACATTATACTCTTGTCCAGGGTGATAAAATTCAGCTAGTCCCCAGTCGATCAGTCTAATTTGCTTATTCTCATGATCAATCATGATGTTGTGTGGCTTCACGTCCCTATGCATGATGCCCTGGCTGTGGCAATAATCTAAGGCCTTTAAAATCTGATATATATAATAACGTATATCTTTGTCTGTGAATTTTGGGTACAGGGTCTTAAAATCAATATTATTAATATATTCAAAAATGAGGGAAGGAGTTTTCGTGACTGGATCCTTCACAATGTCTAACAGCTTGATGATATTTGGTCCTCCATGTAAATTTTGAAGAATTTTTATTTCTCTTTTTATTTTTTTTTTCTTCACCGGTTTTAACACTTTTATTGCGCAGGGTCTATTATACTCCGTGTCATACCCATTGAACACTTCGCTGTATTTACCCCTACCTATCTTCTTCATAATTTCGTACCGATTGGGTTTGTTCCATTGTAACTCCAAATTGTCGTAATCATAATACTCTTTCGGCTTATGAATATTTACATCAGCGTAATACTTGGGTATGTAAATCCTTTTACTGATGGAGCTTGAAGACATTTCTTTCGTTGTGACGAGGGTGGTGGGGTTGGGAGAAACAGGGGGTTCTTTTGTGGGAGGTGTCTGTGACTGCCTCTTTGCTACCACGGGGGACGGGGTAGAGACTTTATGTGGGGAAGGGGTAGAGGCTTTATGCGGGGAAGGGGTAGAGGCTTTATCTGGGGCAGCGGTAGGGGCTTTATCTGGGGCAGCGGTAGGAGCTTTATCTGGGGCAGCGGTAGGAGCTTTATCTGGGGCAGCGGTAGGAGCTTTATGTGGGGAAGGGGTAGAGGCTTTATGTGGGGAAGGGGTAGAGGCTTTATGTGGGGAAGGGGTAGAGGCTTTATGTGGGGAAG